CTAACTGTTCGAAAGCATGTTCTATCGAAGTAAATACTGTAGATATGTACCACTTTGGTGGGAAGACACAGTTCAGCAGTTCAGCGGTTCAAATCCCACCAGGCTCAAGGTTGACTCAGCCTTCCATCCTTCCGAGGTGGGTAAAATGAGGACCCAGATTGTTGTTGGGGGCAATATGCTGACTCTGTAAACCGCTTAGAGAGGGCTGAAAAGCCCTATGAAGCGGTATATAAGCCTAACTATTGCTATTGCTATCTAAAGTACTCCTAGACTTTATGATCACAATTTTCATTGCTAATCATGATAGTTGTTAAGTTAGTTTTGCCCCATTTTACAAAGTTTATATTGGGTGGCATCTAGATTGAAATCTTTGGCGCGTCAAATTGCTGATGTTGCCACAAGGAAAAAGAAAATCTGAACTTGCAAAAACCGAATTACAGGGGGAACATGGAATGTAAAATACATGAACATGGGAGAGCTCAACACAGAGAAAGATGAAGTAATTCGTATAATTCTGTAGAAGTCAGTCTGTATGGTTGCTAAGAATTAGCATTCTTAATAGCATGTTATCAATTAATACTTTATTTACAGTTATCAGGGGATGTATCCAAAGTTATGGATAACAAACAAGCTTCAATGTAGGCTAATATAATCCTAAAAGCCCAATAAACTAAATGTGTATGAAACTCTGATGCATTTCGCTGCATTTTCACAAAATCTTTTCCTAAAGCTACCATTTTAAGGGCATTCCAAGAGTAAAATCTTTCTTACGACGATCATAGTAATTAGATAATCCTGAGAAAAATAAATACAGCTCAAGGCTTGGCCGTACGCTTAATTTCCAATTAAGACGTTTAATTTATCTGGATTGTTTCCCAAGCTAACTTTCGGTATACACCCAGGAGACTCTCTCAAATACAGTTTTTCTCCTGCACAGCTGCATCTTGGCTGCTGGCTTTCCCAGACAGCCTGGGGAGATGATTCACTAAACACTATGCGGTGTCTTTTCTCAGAGGGCTGCCTTCAATTGTTTAACTGAGTACTTCTGTTTTCTGATTAAAACAATTACAGAGCATGCTTTCTGTTTTTGCCCTACGTGCTACCACATGCTCTTGAACCGCCCATATTTTTTATCTTCGAGAAACAGAATAAGCAGGGATTTAATTGGTGAATCTGTGTTTGTAGTTTACTCAGCTGTTGACAAATATGATTTTTTTTTTGTAGGCCAGTCTGCAGCGGTGGGTTTCAAAAATTTTTCGAACCTACTCTGTGGGTGTGGCCTCCTTTGTGGGAGTGGCTTNTGGTTGTTTGGAAGATGAGACAAGATAACTCAGATATGCTGTCTCGAGCTCTCAGAGAAAAGGCGGGAGAGGAATGCAATGACTAAAATAAACAGCCTACTGCTTCTGCCAGCGGATGCTCTATTTCGCCACCACAGCAAACCATCGGGGGATTTCCCTGGCTTCCTTTCCAAGGAATTTAACCTGAGGACTCCATTGTTGCCCAGGGGGTCAATCTGAGCTCAGCACTCACCTTGTTGTTTGAGCCAACCCCGCTCCTGGATGAAACCGATGAAGGGAGCAATCCCGGTGCCTGGCCCAATCATGATGATAGGAGTGTTCGGTTTGAAGGGCAGCCGGAACTGGGATTTCCGGACATACAAGGGCACTGTGGATTTGTGCCCATTCTCATTGGGTTGCTTGTTCTTCAGCCAGTTAGTAGCCACTCCTTTGTTTACTCGGTCCGTTTTGGTGGTGTACTCCACAACAACAGAACAGATATGGATGGAATTTGGGTTTACCTGGAGAGGGGGTGGAATGCAAGAAAGAGCCATCAGGAGCTTTTAGGGACAACAGTGAAGTCTCCAATTGGATCTACATTGCACACTTCACTTGGGGACAGAATTAATCTCTGCCCGAGGTTCAGACTGAATCATAATAAACAAACCAAACGAACTGAGGGCATGGAATATATTGACCTATATAGACTACCTAACCAAGGTTAAAATAAATAACAAAGTAACAGAGTTGGAAGGAGCCTTAGACCTTCTATAGTCCAACCCCAACCTATATATATATATGCTTGCACAAGCGGGGATGCATTTGTGCATTCATCTGCCACTTCCGCAGCCCGGATCAAGGCCTGGTAGTGGGCCATGGCCCGAGGGTTGGGGACCCCTGCTCTATAGCATTTCAGACAAAATGGTTGTCCAATCTCTTCTATAAAATGTTTAGACAAGAACCGTGACTTGGGTTTCTTTAGAGTACAAGGAGACAGAGAAGCCCAGAACTGGATTCTGACTTCAACACGGAAAAATACTGAGGTTCAGATACAAGCGTCTAGTGAAATATGGCCACAAATATATGCTCAGTATTTAGGCAATGTCTCCGTGGATTCTCAGGCATCCAAAAAAAGGGACTAGTTAAGGAAGATGGGCAGCCTTGTAGGTCATCCAGTCCAAACCCTTGCTTGATGCAGGAAATCCAAAATTGCAACACATCCAGGGCGTTGTCCTGTCTCTCCTTGAAGGCCTCTCTCTAATACGGTGGTACAGAGTCCTCAAGTTTTCAAACTGATTGCTTGATTAGGCGCCATCAAGTTGGTATCAATTCTTGGCAGCCATATAGATAATTTTTATCCATGATGATCTGTTCCTAATTGGTTCCAATTTTTGGATTGTTCCTACTGGAGACTGAATATTAAAGAAGCCTTCTAATATTCAGCTGACATCAAACTTCCTATATGTGAAGACCCTGAAAACTATATTTTTCTTTCAACATCAGGCAACTCTTTGGGTTCTGAAAAGCATCTCCATGATTTTTTCTTCTCTCTCCACCTGCTCTCTATGCCCAGGACCATTTATTGCCTTTATTTGAACCCATTTTAGTTTGCGCCTCAATCTTTTTCTATTGCTGGTCTAACTTGTGTGCCATTCCTTCCTTTGGTGGAATTCACATAGCCTAAAATGAGAAGAACCTTCTTTACATTAGAGATTTGCTGAAAAAGATCAGAAGGAAGCAGGGGCACCAGCATTTTCCATGCCTTATTCCCTCTCCTCTTGTGAAATCATTAATTTCACCCCTGCTTTCCAAAATCATTTCTTTCTAATAATGATTGATTGATTGATTTAATTTGTATGCCACCCACTCTCAAAGAGACTGCATTTGTAAGAGCTGTAACCCAACTCCTAACATCTTTAAATGTCTCATGAATGGCTGTTCAGGCTGTGACATTTGCAGCAGGAGATTCATTGTTGCTGAAGTGAGAGGAAGGAAGACTCGCACAAAATATCAACCGTCATTGCAGCTAGCGTAGGAAAAGTGAAAGGTCGTTTTCCACTAAGGCAAAAACGCAAGGACTGGGGGCCTGGGTGGGTAGGAGAACTAAAGAACACATATTGTAGTAAAAAAAAAAAAGACGACAGAAAAATACATTAGATTGTCAACCACGAGAGCTCCTGGCATGCCTTGCCAATGTGCTCACCTTGGATGTAGAAGCGATGGAGTAATAGCGAGCTTGAAGACGGGGAAGCAGTTCACAAAGGTGGTCAATAGGAGGCCGCAGAGAAGGTGTGTCCTGCAGGATAGCCAGGATATTCCTCCGGGACTCAACAACCCAGCTGAGATACAAAGTCTAGATCAAGCAAACATTTATGTTAGGGGAGAAAAGCAAATCAATGTGGATTTATTTTCAAAAAAGGTCCGTTCTAGACAAATCAAACCCTGGGCTTAAGTTCTTTCCTTACTTGATCTACTCAAGAGGGTCTTTGGGCTGTAACTTCCCTGGTTTGCATGGCATAATGGTTACATCCAGTGTATTGGGAGGGTGGGAAATAATGGAAGAGTGCTCTAAGTTAACTGAGGAAGAAAGACTGCAAGGCTGCCTTAGCAAAGACAACTGGCTATTTCCTATTCTACCAAATCTGATATGTAAGCATCACCACGGGGAGATTCCCGGTCCTGTTTTTTTTAACTTTTGAGTTGCCATTCAGGATGGGTTTTCCATGGGCTAAAACAGCAATCCTGACCACCCAGACACTGTCCATCCTTATTCCATTTCTCCCTTACCAGAAGAACAGACTGGGAAAAGCTTTGAGAGATATGGACCATGCATGTCTATCGTCCTGTTTTAGCATTTCACTGCTGAAAACAGATTCTGTATTATTTTGCTCGTCTGATTCAAAGAAAATTGGAAATCTCCTATTTAGGATTTAGGATTTTATTGGAAATTTATATGCCGCCCTTTTCCCTGAGGGGACTCAGGGCGGCTTACAACAATG